TTTACAAAGGCTGGGTGGGTGAAGAGGCAGCAGCACTGGGAGGGGTAAAGGGTGTGTGTAAGGAGCCTGCACCCTGAACCCCTTTCTGCACCCCAGCCTCCTGCTCCAGCCCTAAACCCCCTCCCACACCCAACTCCCTCCCACAGCTTGCACCCCAAACCTCCTCCTGTCCCGTGTCCCAGCCCTGAGTCCCCCCCATAGCTTGCACCCTGCTCCTGACCCAGGCTCCGAGTGGAGCCCCCTCCAGCACTCTGAACCCCTAGGCCCCAGCCCAGAGCCCACACCCCAACCCTGTGTTCTAGCCTGGTGAAAGTGAGTGAGGGTGGGGGAGAGTGAGCTATGGAGGGACGGGGGATGGAGTGAATGGGGTGATGCCTCAGAGAAGGGGTGGGGCAACAGTGTTGGGTTTGTGTGATCACACAGTTGGCAACCCTAGGTTTATGGAATCACTAGAGCCCCTCTATGGAATTTGTTGTCTGTTCTGTGTGTCACTTGCCCCTCGTGATTTGATTTTTGAAATCTGCATGTTTGGGGTTCTCTTCAAATAATGTTTATCTTGCTTTGGGGCTGAGCCCTTTGTGACCAGATGAATTCATTTGTTAGAATGCTTCCTGCTTATTCCCAGTCACGTCTGCCAGTTGATGGCCAGACACTCTAGTGGACTTAAGTAATAAGCAGTGCTGCTGGTGCAAATCAGGAGTAAGTAAATGGAGTTACTCTGTATTTACACCAGAGCAACTGAGATCAGAGGGCCAGATTCAAACACATTGCCGGCATGCTGTGCCAGTGCATCAGTGCAAAGTGTAAACCCATGGATTCATGTAGAAGATCCCCTTTGCCTACAGAGGACGCTCACAGACTGCATCACCTTCCACTCTAAGTGCAAGGTGCATTTCTTTGACTGCCTTCTCTAACATAAACATACAGGAATGTGTGTGTAATTATATAAAATGACAACTCCAAAAACAAAGCACACTGTTGTATGTATTTCTCTCCCTGGGGAGACTATGAGGGAGCAGATGTGTGACAGATGTTAGTCATGTCACTTAATGCACTACTGGAAGCTGTTCAGATGCTATGGTGATGAGCTCTTTATAAAACCTATATAGAACAGAAATTCTCTGGTGACTTATGGTCACTGTCTGGTATGAATAGTTAAAAATAAACATTTAAATTGTGGGTCTGTTATTAAAAATTACTTGGCAAAACATGGCTTCATGGTTACTCTGCATTGATTGCCTCTCAGTGACCTGCAGAGCATATTTGCTCAATTTTCATGTAAAAAGATGTTTTCCAACTGCACAGATTTGCAAACTCAGCCAAGCTGTGTTCTTTATGTCTGAGCACTACACAGATCTGTTAGGCCTCTGTAGGGCTTCTGTAGGATTGCACAGACGTAAAGAGGTACAGAATTTGAAGACAACAGGGTTACGGAGATGACTATATCCAATTGCAAGGTTAACAGAAAGGAAACAGTTTAGCTCTTCCAGAGCTGTATTGGCTCAACAGAGCTGGCAGTAATAATAATAATATTTTTACCACTTTTTATTAATAATTTCCACTAAAGTAAGCAATTAACTGCATTCAAGGAGCAAAGTTGATGGGTAAGGCAGTGCTATTTTTAGTCACGTTTCAGATTTGAACTGCATTTTAAATTATAGAAACAAAGCATCACACATTATTTTGTATTAGCAAACTTTACCTTGGAGGTCCACCGATGTTCTGCATAAGCCAAATCTGCACTGTAGAAACTTTGTCTGGGTCTAAGTTTAAGATCTCAACACTTCCAAAAATGCTGTAAGAATGGGAGCATGAAAAAGCAACACACATCTTCGCTTTAGAACAAGATGAACAAAGTATGTTCTCCAGTCACTACTACATACTCATGCATTATCATTATTCCCAGTGGAGATAATGTATAATTTTCCCATGAAATTTTCATGGACTATTTAATTTGTGTAAAGGAATTTCCCCCCATTTTCATTCAGCTTTATTGAGAGCCTTTGGAGCTGTTTGCAGAATGAAACAGTCTGAGGTTCTTGTCTAGATTACCAGTGACTGCCACTACTAAAGGAAAAAAAAATCTTTCTGCTTGCGCTAACCACAAGTTTCTTCATCCCTCAGAGTTAGCAGAGGCAGCACCTCCTGTCAGTCACTGAAAGTATGTACAATCTCTGGGGGAGCATAATCCAAGAAATCCACTCTGAGGATAGTTATAATGTGTCGGTCATGTGAGTGTAATATAGCAGAGGAGTCCATTTTGGGCTTTCTGTGGATTGTGGCCATTTTCAGAAAAAATCCAAATCAAATGCATCAGAAGATGCATAATATAATGGGCCAGATCGTCAGCAAGTGTAAATTAGCATAGCTCCATAGAAGTCAGAGCAACACTGATTCAGCAAAGCTGAAGAAGATCTGGCCCTCTAAGGCCCCAGTCTTGCACTGGGATTTACTGTCGCCAACACCTGCACCAGTACAGAGTCTCTAAGTGAGTAGTAAGACAGAGCCAAAGGCAGTGACCGATTAAGTAGATACCTGTTACTTCTGAATGCTCCAGCTTCTATTGATCCATTGAGCATCACCTGAACCACACCACATGCTTCTTCTGCAAACTAAACAAGCAAACGTACATTGTACTTTAGCTTTACATGAAACAGAGGGTCAGATCCTTAGCTAGAGTAAATCAGCATAGCTCTTTTGACTTCAGTAGAGCTGCACCAATGTTTACCAGCTCAGGATCTGGGCTCACTATTTTACCAGAAGATTGCAGTGAAAATAAAGGGCCATATCTTCTCTCACTGGTACAAAGTTACCCTAAAGCTACATTGACCAACCGCAACTGGATAACCCCATGAAGGGAGAGCCTGTGATGGTGCAAAGCTGGCATAACGGCTCCTGTGCCACAGTTTTCCTGGCTGCTGGTGTAGAGGACATTGCTGTGACTTCCCTGAGCCCTGGCTTCTATGAGGAGTTCTTCTCATTATGTTAAAAAGGCACAAGGAGGCACTCATTCTCTCAGCCATGCTCTACAGCAGTTTCCAGCATGCTTTTAGCATTCAGAGGTTTAAAAAGTCATTGGTTTTAGCAATTGTGATCTTGTGTATTTGTATGAGAGAATGATTTCTATATATATATATATATATATATTATGGTTAATTAATGTTTAAGAACTAATTGTGCTTGGTGCTGTTTGACACAAATATCAAGATGACCACTGACAGAGGGACCCATTCAAGCAAGAATAAGAATGCCCAAATTATTGTGACATTAAATGTTGTGTGAAACATGAGACCTTAGTGAAAGTCTTGGGAAACCTGTATTTCCAAAAAACACATGGCACAGCTTTCAGTTCTTAACAATCTAATCAGTGTTTGAATTTGATCCATTCAACGTCTTTGGTGAAAGCCGAGAGGAAAATGGCATTTTGAGTAATTTGTAGCGTGACTCCTAACAGTTTGGGAGGAATTCACATCAGACCTCTGAGATGATCAGACTGTGTTCCAAGGTTTAACTGTTAGCCACTTTTTCCTTTGCTGTATTTCCTTCATTGTTATAAACACGAATATTTTGATTAAAAGTATTGTTCCAGGATGTAATTGGTCATGATAAAAATATAGAAAAAAGCCTACTGGCCATTAAAGTAGGGAGCCGTGGTTAATAGTTAAGGCCCCAATCCTGCAATTGGATCTATGTCTGCACAGAGTCCCACTGAAGTCAATGCATCTTGCAGGGACTCAGGGATTCACATGCATGGATTTGGTTGTAGGATCAAAGCCTTTGTTTTCTAGCCAATGGAACAGACATACCAGACAAATTTGGATGTTCAGCATTTTAGCCCCAGATTTCCACAGTCTGGGTGAAACCCTGTCCCACTTAAGTCTATGGGAGTTTTGCCATTGACTTGCTTGGAGGGCCAAGATTTTTACCCTCTTTCAACATCCCCAACCCCCAAAGGATAAATTGATGCTAACTGTGATCCTGGAGAAGTTTCTATATAATCCTTACCATCTTGGATGCCATTTTCCAGTACACAGAACTAGGGTTGCTCTCGCATTCACTCCATTTTGGACAAGATTCATAGTTAATTCCTAAAATAAATATATGATGCAGAATAACTAAGATTAGAGAGGAAATTGTCAGACACTTTAATACTGCCTGCAGTGCTGAATAAGAATGGCAAAAATAACTATTGCGCCCCATCACAGCAACAGGCTTAGGTGAAAAGTGTTCTAAGGGGGAGATTAAGTTGAAGGTGTTTGGAAGACTGTGAGGCATTTACAGTCCCCTTATGCAAATTATTCCAGCAACATTGTTCCTGGTCAGGCTGAGCAGGGAGAATGTGCACTTATTGATGTGACAAAAAGCGTGGGAGGGAGGGGGATGCTCAGAAGTGACTCTTCCCACATAATTTTTTATTTTGTTTTTTATACATTTCCCTCAAATTTGGGGACAGATTCTGACATCCCTACTCATTCTTAGGCCCTTAGCGTGAACAAGCAACCCCCTTATATCTACATGTGGTCCCAATGACTTCTGTGCAAGTGCAGGAGTCTGCCTGAATGGAGCATATTGCAGGACTGGGGCCTTAGTCTGAAAGTGGTCCCACTGGAATCACAGTATGTTGCTGATTACTGTAAATAAGGGGGGCAATATGTCACTAGGCTGAGCTCTTTTTGTGCTACTGGGAGCTAAAAAGTGTTGATAAAATTAAGCTGAAAATTAGTGTGTTTTTCACTTTTCCATAACTCAGGCAGGGTAGAAAGGTTCAACAGTTGTTTTGGGCTGAAACCAAGAATGGAAAGTATCCTCTCCAAAAGAGATTTTCTTATATTAGAAATTGGTGAGTGAAAGAAAACCTGGAGTTATAATGTTGTTGTTTTTTTTGTTTTGTTTTTGTTTTTTGTTTTTTAGTTTAAAGGAATCCTTACCTGGACTAGAAGGGTTTCCACACCATGAGATTCCATCAGCCATATAGCCCAGCAAGGTGTCCTCCAGAGTGAGGAAATTGTGATTGGTTTTTGTATAACGATGAACAAGGTCACTTGTCTTGCTCCAAAATAATGACTGTGAGGGAAAAAGATGATGAGTAAGAAATGGCATTGATAGAAGAGCTGGTCAGGAAATGTTTTTTCCAGAAAAAGTTTTGATGATGAAAATGTTATTTTCCTTTATATTTTGGGGGTTTTGTCAAAAGACCAAAAACTGACTATTTAAAATATATAAAAATTCCAGTGGGGTTTTTGATGAAAATTTCTATTTTCAGAAAAAAAAATTAATTTGGTCGGGGGGGGGGGAACCAATTTTTTCTATTGAAAAAACATTTTTAAGGAAACTTTTTAACCAGCTCTAATTGCTGTCACTCTGCATGCATTTCAACCACCCATGAGCAATAAAAAGCCAGGTGCCTCTAACTGCATGGCTGCTCTTACAGAGAGGTTCTCTTCTAAATAGCAATGAAGGCCCCAATGATTTTTTTTTTCCCATCATGGCCCAAAATGTTGTCCCTAGAAGGAATATTCTGTACAATGATCTTCATCACTGGCCTATAATGAACAGGATTCTCTTGTTCTAAAAGAAGTAGCTTTGGGAGTAATGTTATCTCAAGCCTGAAGTCAGAGTACCTGTAGGTATTTGAGGGTCACTCATGATTGCGATCATTATTATTATTTGTGTTACCATAGTGCCTAACAGCCCTAGTATTGGACCAGGACTCTGTTGTTCTGTGTTTGTAAAGTGCCTCTAGCACAAAACCAAAGAACGTCCATTGTACTAAGCATGTACAGACAAGCAGTCCCTACCCAGACAGCTCATGACACACAAATATTGTTACCTTGTTACAGGGGATAGGATGACTCGCCAAATCCAGTAACGGCTGATAATCTTCTATTGTAATATTACATGGGTTCTTGTAAATAAACGCCTTTTGCATTTTTTCCCATATTTTTTGGCAATCTTTGTCTCTGTCAAAAGATTAAAATATATTAAAGGGAGATCAACTGTTTAAAAAACAGGTAATCCTCCAAAAGCATAGTTCTATTTCTGTGAGATGCTGCTGTGTTGTTACAAGGAGAGAAAATAAATAATGGGGGAGGGGCTTACAAAAGGATCCCCACCCCTCTGCTGTGTTTAGGCAATGTGGCCAGACTTTCCGAAGTGCTTATCTCTCATTTAGGCCCCATAATAAACAACCAGATTTTCAACAACAACAACAAAAACCCTCGGCATGTTCAGTATTTGCTGGATGCTGAGTAATTTTGAAAATCAGACCCCTCTCCCTGCTTTAGGGATTTTATGCTGCAGCCCATCACCGTAGTCACTGAGCACCTTCCATGTTTGGGTGCCTAGAAGGGAGCGGAGCTTTTTTTGTTTGTTTGTTTGTTTGTTTTGTTTAAAAAAAAAAAATCTGGCCCCAGTTGTAGGTGCTGCACACTTGAACATTTGGTCCTGAGTTCTTTCAAATATCTGACTCCACACAAAGAGAGGTCCAGATTCTACCCTCCTCATTCCTGCTAAGTAGTGCTGTGAGTTGTCCCACTGCAGCCAGTTGGACCGGTCGCCAAGTCAGTGACTGCTTATCATGAGCAGCAAGGGTGGCAGAATCTAGCCCAGAGATTTAACACTTCATGGCACAGAGAAGTTGAATGGTATTGCCGGTTCATATATGTCAGTGGTGCCCAAACTTTTTGTCATGCCCCCCTTACCAGTAATGTAATCTGTCTGTGCTCCCTCCCCCTCCCTATTACTGCACAGCTGGCTCAGCAGAGGAGGGTGGGCTGAAGGTGGAGCTGGGGGCTGAACTGGAGCTGGGGTTAGAGGTGGAGCTGGGCTGGGGGTGGAGAGGGAATGAGAGCAGAGCTGGGCTGGAGCAAGGCTGGGGCCAAGCGGGGGCAGAGTGGAGCCAGGGGTGTTGCAACAATTTTTATAGTGGGGGGGTGCTGAGAGCCATGGAACCGAACTGTTAACCCTGTATAGAATGGAAACTGCCTCAAGCCAGGGGGTGTGGCAGCCCCCCCTGCACCCCTAGTTCCAGCACCTATGAATGGAGCTGCAGCTGGGGCCAGAGCTGGGCAGGGTGCAGAGCTGCAGCTGGGGCCTGAGTGGGCCTGGTGGTGGAGCAGGGCTGGGTGGCGCTCCCTCCCCATCCCCTGTGGGAGCTGACCTGGGG